TCTTTCTTTGCAAGATAGTGAGCAGAGTTCTATCATAATTGCCAGGTATTTACTCATGAATTGATCTCTTCAACCTTTTTTTGTCTTGCTGGGTCAATCTGGATACGTTAAGTATTTGTCCTTTTTTTCATTTACTTCTCTGACATTATAGCTATATATTGTATTATCTGATGTTTTAAAGAGTTCTATACTTTTTTCCCCCTCAGTTTCATCTATAAAATGGGGTGGTGAACTTAAAATGGAATGAACAGATTCAGTATTGAAGAGTACACAATAGTGTTTTCTTTACATTGTTAGGTAGGTGATTTCTCTGCTGATTTGGTGGGTCAAGTTTCGGATGATGAAAGACCTCATAAATATTAGCTCTCTCTTCTTGTGCTGCTGTTACTTTTTCTTCCACAGTGTATGACTGAGGCATATCTATTCACCTTCATTCTACTTTTGTTATTTGTTATGCCTTTCACATATAACATTCTCACCTCTTTCAAAACAAAGTTCAAGTCAGAAAAAATAAATGTTACTTTAATGAATAGTCCTGCTTTTTTTGTGTTACTATCTAGATTATAGATTTTTAGAAAGTGGTATGGTATCATGAAAAGCACACTGGTCTTGGAGTCAGGAGGCATGAGTTCAAGTACTAGCCAGAGCTAGCTATGTAGTCATTACACAAATAACTCTATACATAAATATATAAACACATCAGAACACTCATAATGTGACTCTGGGCAGTCTGAGTTACTTACACTCTCTGGGCTTCAATGTATTCATACGTAAAATGAGGTTGCCGAAAAGGCAGAACCCTTTAAGTCTTAAAACACTTTGGAAATGAGTTATTACTATTATCTGTTCCATTTTTAAGTGTTTCATGAAGATATGTTATTGACATTTAATTTTTAACCAGGCCATATATAACTTTTACAGAATTTTAGTCTATTTCTATGTATTGTTGTAACTATTACATTTGACCTATCTCCTATCCTTTTAAAAATCTATTTCTGTTGAACACTAGAATTTTTTGGAGGGAGGGCTTTTATAATCAGAAGGAGTTTATCTCTTTTACAACTATTCCTTGTACCTATCTAAACCAAACTATATTATATATTGTATTCTTAACTAGTAGTATACATTTCTATGACCTTAGACCCATCTTCTATTGGAAACCAGGGCTGTGCTTTGGAGTTTGTTCACTTGTTTCTCCTCCATACCCTTTTTGTGTTATTGTTTTAAATTCACAAAACAATTCACCGATATCTCCTTTTTAAAAATAAAACCTTAATATTAAACATTATATTGCTCATTTGATTGTATTTATCATATGGGAACTTGGGTAATCTATTCTCTAATCTAATAATTGAACATAAAGAGCTTCTCTGCCCTTAATAGTTTAACATGGTATGCTTTTAAATGTGTCGATGTTGCCCCAAGACATTTCAGAGATCCATGTGAATGAATATGGGTTTCTCATAATGATTTCTATATGACTTATTAATTACTGAATGTTATTCTGACTTCAGAAAAGGATATTTTAGCTCTTTGGCACTCGATTTATCCTCAGATCTTATCCCATGTTTTGGTTTCATGAGGTTTGAGGACTTTTTCTCTCATCTCATATAACAGTTATATAAAATTAGAGGTTGTAACCTAATGAAAACTTTTATACACGGTGTGCCCAAGGTTTTAAAAGTATTGTTAAAGCACTAAAGCTTTGTGTTATTACAGCTTTAAACTTCACTAAAGACTTCTGAAACACTCTGTATATACTTTTTTTTGTTGCTTGGAGAAATCTCCCTTTATCTGAGTTTGAGAATTTCACCTCTATGTGCCATGGAGTCTTTTGGTGAGGGTTCTTCCTAAATAGGAGCTAATGAATTCTTTCAATTTCTAAAGCTGGTTTTGTTTTCAGATACAGAAAAATTTTCTCAATTCTCTGAAAACCATCTCAAGGTTAATTTTCTATATCGCCCTGCTCCTACATTTGTAGCATAGACGATCCTAAGCCAGGCCCAGTTAGAACCTAGAAGCCCTAAAAAAACAAGTTCAAAGTCCATTTAACCTCGCTTTAATCTTGGAAATACTTGTTCCAAGCACTGGACCTGGCTTTTATCAACCTTTAATCCTGAATAATCCTTCATATTCTCAATGCCAAATTTGATCCCCTATTATCCTAATCTTTATTGCTAAAGATTCAGAACTACCCAGTAAAATTTCTTGAATTTGTCCTCTTTCTCCTTTTACGTCTTTTTAAAAATTCTTGTCTTCTTTCATTTCTTTAAAAACATATATCTGAAAAAAAAAACCCAACCATATATCTGATCTCTCTTGTCCTTCAACATTTATCAAGTGAGTTCTGTTCTAGTCTTCATAGCATTTCCTCCATCATGCTCTTGGAGCTTTGACAGTCTTCCTTTTAAATTGTGCCCTGACCAACCACTACATTTTCTTTTTTTATATTCAAGTTGATTTCAAATATTCTGGCTATGTTTGTTTCCAACATTTTCATTTCTCATTGCGGATTTCGTCTAGGCTAGACACTCCACATTACTTTTTGTCTTACCATCTTCCCTGAAATCTTCAGAAGAACAGAAAATTAACATCTAGTCCCTTTTACTACCCTATGAGGTGAAAATAGCAGTTCTTTATCCCCATTTACTCCCTGGAAGTCCCTTAATTTAAAAGAAAGCAAAAAAACCCCAAGAAATTCTTCACTGCCACTAGGACTAGGACACTGCATCCTATTATCCAGTGAGCATGATCACTTTTCCCACCAAACCCTACTCCGAACTCCCAGCAATTGTATTAATAATGCTCTACAAAAGTCACATACTCATTTCAAGGCCCCAGAGCTACACCAAGAACTATCTAAGAGATAAAATCACTATTATGGCTCAACAGGAAAAACAGACTGCATAATATCACAGGAAATGTATGAATTGGGGATCAGAAAATAGAGCTTTGAACTCCAGCTCTGCAACTTCTCTGGGTTTTAGTTTCCTAACTTGTAATATCAGGAGGTTGGACTAGACCAGAGGTGGAGAACCTATGCTCTTGAGGCCACATGTGGCCTTTTAGGTCTTTGGGTGTAGCCTTTTGGCTGAGTCTCAAGTTTTATAGAACAAAACCTTTTACTAAAGGGATTTGTTTTGTGAATTTTGGATTCAGTCAAAGAGCCGCCCTCGCGACCACATGTTCTCCACCCCTGGGCTAGACAATTTCTAAGGTTCCCACTCTAAATTTTATGTTTGACTCTTAGTCCAAAAGGTATTTGAGACTCTGTTCCTACGCTATTCGTAGGTTAGCATATTTCAAGAGAGGTATGAAGAACTGACCTTTCCTACTGATTTGCCTTTCACAAGCTTGGGCTAGTAGTCTTCTGAAGCAAGACCCCTTAAAAATTATAGACAAGTCTTGTCAGCGTAAAAAAAATTCCTTCTATGTGGATCCTAAAAAAATTCAAAGCTCCCATAATAACTCTGCGTCATGACATATATGTTTCTAACTCAATTAAATCTATCAAAAAGGTACGTACCTCTTGGGGTAGAAAAGCTACAATGAATTTAGGCACATGATTTCCTCGGTTACCATGGCAGACACTTTGTTACTCCTACCCTCCATAAGTTGGTTGCCCAATATCCCCTTTAACTTACATCTTAACCTGGAAATCTGTGAATTTGTTTTAAAAAATTTAAAAACTGAATTTCAATATAACTGCTTTCCTTTGTAATTCTATGTATTTTACTCTGCATTTAAAAACATTATTCTGTGAAGGGATCCACTGGCTTAATTAGTACTAAGAGGGTCCATGACACAAAATGTTAAGAACCCCTACCCCCGGTCTACTACTTGGATAACAGAGGGTCTTAGTTCTAGCAGAATCATTCATGTCAGTTCCCCTGAAATTAGGCTTCAAAGAGAGTAAGACATTTAGAATGAGAAAAACAATACCAGCTAAAAATACTAAAAATGAACTAACAGAAGGACTATATGTACCATAATAGCCATAGATTATAAGGGTAAAGATATAATCTTAAGAATGTTAGTGCTTACAACCTTTAGTTCAGAAATTAACCCCAGCACAAAAGAAGCAAACAGATGAACAAGGACATGCTAGAAATCCAACCATTACACCTGGCTGTATGAAAGAGTAAGTTAGGAAAATTAGTTTTTTTTAACTTTTTAACTGAAGAAGCATTCACTTCCTGATAATGTTTGAATTCATTTTATAGGTACTGAGAGAACTTTAAGCATTTGGAAGAATTAAAAATAACTGTGCATAGGAACCAAATATAGTCATATTTGTAACTCCTCCCTTCAGGCAAATTAGTAGTTTGAATGCCTTAAAAAATAATCTATTATTTAAGTAAATTTTAAGTGTGTACATGTGTCCAAAGGTATGAAAATAGAGTTTTATATGCAAGGTGAGAGTTTAAAGGACAAGAAAATACTCTGCTGACTGATATTATCTGCTACTTATGTGGACTGTGCGCTGTTACACTAGAAGTGGAATAACTTGGAAATGAATTTGGCTGTAAAATCATTCAAGACTTCACTTGTCTAGAGTTAAAAAGTATGCTTTTGAGATGAAAAAAGGAACTTACATGAAATGTGAACCATGCTAGAGTAAGAAAAGGTGTATATGTACATATAAATAGATTTTTATTGTTAATCACTGAACTGCTTTCTAGATATGAAATCCAAGCTGGCTTATTTTTTATTATTATCATTATCAACTTACTTTCACCCAGGGAACCTGCTGTAATTGGCAAGGGGTATACAACATGTACACAAATGTAGAAGGCATAAGCAATATAAGTACACCCCTTGAAAGAACAGCAGGAGATGCAAGTCTTATCTAACTTTACTTGTCAAGCATTAATGTTCCTTCAAGAAACAGGACATTCCCTATAGCAACCAAAGTAGTGCTTCCATTGAAACAAAGGCTTCTGGATCTGTACCAAATGGTGGCCAAGCTACTGCTCTGCAGAATCAAGCCCAAACAAGAAGAAATTTGTTTGGATTTTATTGGAATTAAGCTTTGTAATTTGGAAAGGTATAATGCTGTGGTATGTAATGCATCAAAGGATGTCATATGAAGAATACAAAGAAACCAGAGAACCTAACTCTCACTATAGTAGGCCCCTATTCCACCTTGGTAGAATAGAACCCCTCTTAAATGAAAAGGGGGCACACATTTAAGGATAACGTCAGCCAAGAAGGGGGACTCACATCTAGTTCCTGCACTATGCGAAGTTCCCCCCTTGGGGAGCCAACCTTAAATATGGGCCACTACTTAAGACATTCTCCCCTAAAATGAACAAGAACTCAGACAATAACCTGGGAAAAGACAACAGGGAGCCCATTTGGAGAACTTTCCAGCTCCTACACAATCACCTGGAAGATACAATAGGAAATATATATCAAAAAGAAGACATCAACAAAACCAGGGGGACCTCACTCAATCTAAAGACCATATTATCAAAGAAGACAAAGAGATGTCTACTCTGGGTCTACACTCATGGTCGATTGGTCAGTTCAAATATCCCCAACACCCAAATGTTCAACCACAGAATTTAATGGGCAACGCTAAGCAAGTTCATGCTACTTGTTTATATTAGTAATTTGTCCACAAAAAACATCACTATGGGTCAGAACTAAGTAGGCATATTGAGCTCACTGGATGGCTGGAGCTAGTCCCTTAGGGACTCTGAAACCAAACCCCAACGCCAGCATTTCATACTGGCCAGGGAAAACTCATGAGTCTCCTTGGTATACTCAACCATCAACTGAGCACTATAACAAGACTTTAAGTGCCCATCTGGGCTAAATCAGCCCAGTACGTCCTGAGGACATAAGAATAAGCTTTATGAGGTAGAGAGACATGAAGGCTGTCTCCACCCCCTTGGGATTGATATAGAGAGTAAACCAGACACATGTAAGGACAACCTTTTCTGAACATCTGACCTGGTTTATCTGGTATCATTGACAGGACCCTATAAGTCCCTCTGACCCACTTTTGATATATGATATACTAGAAGGTAACCTAGCTCTCCTAGGTTCTCATAAACATTACTCCTACAGACATACCCTCCCCAATCCCTCCCATCCCCAAACTATAAAGTTAGCTACATGCCTCTGCTAGACAAGCTAGAATTCCTAGTATTTAAAGATGACAAGCAGCAGGAGACAAGGCCTCAAGACTCCTTGTATGCTCCATTAAGAGTCAACACAGGAACTACTGGCAATCTCCTCTCGAGTCCAGGAAGAATGGATGACAATGAGGTCTCTCCATCCCTGGCAGGTAGCCCACCAGTTATAAGCTAAAGTAGTCAGGCATATTAGGACCATAGACATCAGTGGTCCACAGCACATTAGCTCGGTCAGCTGACAGTAACATCTGGCGTAATTCAGCCTGAACATGGGCAAACTTCTCCTCATCCAGGAGGATAGCAGCCGGAGGTGGCCAGGGCAAAATCTCATAGCAGTCCACAGGAAATGGATACACCACCAGCTGGAGCTCAGGCAGTACCTCTGACCGAAGCAACAGGGTTTTGAGTCCAGAGGTAGAGAGGGGATTGCCATAGAGACCAAGGTAGCGGAGCTGGACACAGCGGCACAGGCTTGGTAAGGAGGAAATAAGATGGGTGTCCATGAGCTCACACTCAGTCACATTCAGGAGCTTCAAAGTGGTGGAGACTGCCTTCAGCACAGCCTGAAAAGGGCCCAGCAGGGCACCTGAAAGGTTGTTGCCGCTGAGGTCCAACTTCTTAAGGTGGCTGGCATGCGGGCTCTGGGCCAAGTACCTCAAGTCTGTAGGGAGGAGATAACAGAAGGCCACCTCCAGGCTTTCCAGGGGATTCGGTAGGGTGCTGCAAATAGACAAAGACATGGTATTATTTGCCATCAAAATCCAGAGATTCACTCTTACCACCAGAGGGACAAGAAAGATGATGGTTCTGCTAAATAGCTTTGCCACACTGTTGGGAACTATAGGTTCTGACCACAGGTACATTGAAGGAATGGAAGAGAATACAGGAAAAAAACACAGGTTAATAAGGACAAAAATCCTTATGTTATAAAGTTCTCTTTTTAATGATCATTAACATTATGAACCTTTTACCAAGAACAAAGAATTGGCATGGTTTTAAGAAGCTAAGAGTAGGAAGACTTAGATAAGGTTACTTTGATATCAAAACAGATTTCTAGCAACCTAAATGGTTACAATGAATGAATCTTGGAACACTTTCTCATGGAAGCAACCAAGAACTGAGCTGGTGAAATCAGCCTGTGCTATGGAAATAGGTGCCACTCACTGACAACAACTGCTATGAGTACAAATGAGTACAAACAGAAAACAGAAGCAGCATGAGGGGGACTCCCAGGCTCACTTACCTAAGCACCTGATTCAGCCGACCAGAAAGGCAAGAGGAACCCATATTGAGCTCTCTGAGGCGGATCAACTTAGTAAGCTCAGAGAGAAATATACGGAAGCTGTCTTCTGCCTCAGATGAGAGCTGCCATAGGTCCACGTAGCTGTACTGTAGTTTTAGGCTCAGCAAGCTGGTGAACTTCACAATAGAAGCCATGAGTTCACAAAGGCCAGATAACTCCAGGCTATTGAAGCACAGGTCCACTCGGCGCAAGTGCATGGGATCCAGTAACTCCAACATATCTACAGTGCTATTCAGGGGGAGTTCTTCAGCCCGGAAATCTCGACAGCAAAGGCGCAGAGGGCTAAAAGCACTTGTCTGTAATGTATCCTTTAGAAACCCATAGGAGCTGTGGGTTACCCGGAGATCTACTCGAACCTCTATAGGGGTAGGAGTATAGATGGGTGGTACTGCCTTTCTGCGCTTGGCCCGCCGACGTCTCTGTCTTAAAGATTTGTTTAGCTGACCCATGATGCAGGTCTGTATCACAGACACAGTGCGGGACCACATGGTCATGGTTGTGAGGTCTTCCTCATAGCCAGAATCCAGAATTCCTGTCATGTCCAACAACTGCAACTGCAGCTTCCTAAAGAAAGGAGATAACATTTTGAGACCCTATCCTAGAAATCACTACTACATAGTTTACTCTACCCCAAAAGGCAGAGTTCATCCAGTGTGTACTTGATTTACTGTGGCGAAAAAATAGGACTGTAATAGTCAGGAAAGAAAAAGTTATGAAGGGAATGGTATACAGACATTCCAACAAAATCTCATTCGGTACCTGTGGAAACAAAAAAATAATTGGCCTTGATTGTGCTTGAAACCATAACTATTAGATCTCAGGCTTACTTATTTCCTTAATGTCAATAAGAAGAAAGGAATGCCCTAGGAAGGATCTTGCCATCTATGGAACTAGTGAAATATAAAGGCTTTTGGGTTGAATTCCTGGGTCCTAGGTCAGTGTAAAAGCACTTATGGTAAAGACAACCTCCTAGATCAATATTCACATGCTGAATGGCTCAATCCGAATGGGCTCAGGGAGTACATACATTCTCATTGCTATTTTAAGGCTGTACAGTCTCCTGGCTCTGCTTGCTAAACTAAGGTGTTTTAGTGGCCTCGAAAAGACTGAAAATATTACCTGGATTTCCCCTTATTTGATTAACTAGTGACTCCATTCCCTGGCTTTTATTTTCTATATATTTATCAAACATTAATCTTTTGTATACATTTGGTTTTATTTCTAGGAGCCCTCTTTCACCCGGTATTAGTTTTCCTGCCCTTAAGGTCTACTTTGATGCCTCATTATGATGTGGTACCAGCCCTGACTGCTGAGTAAAAAGAATATAAATACAGTCTAATAAACAGATTTTGTTTGTTTTCCAAGGGCCAGCCTGGCTAAGTTTGGAAATGGCTATAGCTTTTTTTTCATGGAAGCAAAGAAATGGAAACTGAGAGGTTCCCATTAATAGGAGGATGGCTAAACAAATTATGGTATATGTACGTGATGCCAGGCTACTGTTCTGTAAGAAATTATAAAGGGGACTGTTTTAGAAAAGCCTGTAAAGACTTGTATGAACAGATGCAAAATGAAGTGAGCAGAACCAGAACAATTTATTAATACAACAGAAATTGTAAAGGAACTCTGATCAACACAGTGGAACCAACCACAGTTCCAGAGGGCTCATGATGAAACATGCTACCCACCTCTAGATAGAGGAGTAACAGACTCAGAGTGCAAACTGAATTATGCTTATTTTTTGTATATGGCTAAAATGTGGGAATATTTTTAATGAGTTTTGTTTTTCTTGCTTTCTCAATGGATAGAGAAGGGAGTGAGAAGGAATTCAAAACTAAATACAAAATAAAACTGGATTAAAAAAACAAAAAGAAAAAGGTGACTATGGATTTTTTTTTGGCTAAAATTCACAAAAAAGCTGGTTAATAAGACAGCAAGAAGCTGTGATCCTCATCACAAATTGAGAGAGATAAGGAGCACATACAATGATGAAATCAAGAATCCTTAAAGCATTTTAAAAGTTAAACATTAGGTAGTTTTGATGTTAACTGCCTTATAATAGGCCCATTTCTATCATCTTCTCCCACATCCAAGCTAAATATTCTTGCCCTCTTATTTTTTCATATAAACTGATGCTGATATTTTGACTAGCACTGAATTAAATTTATAAATTAACTTCAGAACCATGTTGATCTTATTCAAATGTAAATAATAACTGTCTCTCTAATTTTCTATGGTTTTTATTTCTGTCAATAGCATTTTATAACTATCTTTATAAGAGATCAAATGAGTGTCTAGGTCAATTAATTCCTAAATATCTGATAACTTCTTGTCAGAAACAAAATGTCTTTTTTATGTATCCTTGGTCTTTTTTGGTAATAACCTAAGAACAGAAATAATTCCTGTAGTCAAATCAATTTGTTTTCTTGTTGAAGTCTTTGGATTTTCTATAATAATTACAGTTAACATTTATACAGTGTTTACTATGTGCTAGGCATTGTGCTAAGTACTTTGCAATTATTATCTCATTTCATTCTCACAATAATTCTGGGAGGCAGGTGCTATTATTATCATCCTCATTTTATACATGAAGAAACTTGAGGCAAGCAGAGATTAAATGACCTGCCCAGGGTCACATAGCTGGTAAGTGTCTGAGGCTGTATCTGAACTCAGGTCTGCCTGACTCCAGACCCGGCATTCCATACACTGCACAACCTAGCCGCCAACAATCACGTCATCTACAAATAATATTTTGACTTTAATTTCCAATATTAAGTTCTTTATTTTTTTCCTTTCAGAACTGTTAGCATTTTTACTATTTATATTCTGTTACACGTGTGACTTCACAGAACTGAGAGTTCGAAGAGACTCTGGCATCAATCCAGTCCAAGTTATACACAACAAGAACCTCCACTATACTCTACCTAAAGACTTCCAATGAGGGGGTGAAGGGGAATCCCAATACATCTCAAGGTAGTCCATTTTACTTTTAGACAACTCTAATTGTTACTTTTCCCAACATCAAATCTAAATGCAACTTTTACCCATTCTATCAAATGATGACAAATAAGTCTAATTCATCTTCCACATGACAGCTCTTCAAATATTAGAAGACAGTTGTCATGTCCCCAATAAGTTTTCTTTTAACCAAACTCAACACATTAGGTCAATGAGTCAACACGACCAGTTCGGTTCCTTCAACTGCTCCTCATATGACAAGGCCCCAAGGTCCTCTTATCATCCTCACTGCCTCCCAGCTTATCAATGTCTCCCCTAAACTCTGGAGCTAAGAACTGAGCCCATTACTCCAGATATGGTCTGATTAGGGAAGAGTACAGAAGAACTATAATCTAGTTCCTAGAAATGATGCTCTCAATAAAGGTTGAGATTACATTAACTCTTTTGGCTGACATATCACACTCTTGACTTGTTGGGCTTACAATCCACTAAAACTCCTATATCTTTTTCAGACAAAATGGGATCTAACCATCACTCTGATATCTCGCACTTATGAAGGTGATATTTTTTGAACCCAAGTATAAGGCTTTATACATTTATCCCTACTGAACTACATCTTATTAGATTCAGCCCAATGCTCTAGCCTAGCAAGGTCTTTTTGGATCCTGATTTTGCCATCCAATGTTAGCTATCCCTCTGAGCTTGGTACCATTTGCAAATTTTGTGAGAATGCTACATATGCCTTTATTCAAGTTGTTAATAAAAATGTTCGATAGCACTGAAACCAAGCACAGATCCCTGGCGCATTCTACTGGCCACCTTGACATTAAAACACTAATGACTAATTTTTATAGTCTGCTAGTCTATCTAGTTTGCATTCTAGCTTCTTTATAAGAACAGCATGAACAATATTATCAAATACTTTGCTAAAATCTATGTAAACTACATCTACAACATTCACCCAATCTATTGAGTAAGTAACCCCAAGTTGCTCTGGTATGTCTTGACCTCTTCTTTCTACTCACATCACCACAATTTGAATATAGGCCTTAATCATCTCTCACCTATATTACTGTAATAGCCTTCTAATTGGTGTCCCTGCATCATTTCTACTTATGCATCCTCCATTCAGTGGCCAGTCATTTTCCTCAAGTGCATATCTGACCATGTCAGCTCCCTACCCTATAAATTCCAGTGGCTCCCTAATACTTCCAAGATCAAATATAGAATTCTCTTTGGCATTTAAAGCTCTTCACAAACTAGCCCCTTTATACCTTTCCAGTCTTATACTTTACAATCCTCCACACACTATACCACCAAGCTACATACTAAACTACCTGTTGCTCCTCACACACGGCACCACATCACCAGTCTCTGCAAATGCCTGGAATATTCTTCCTCCTCACCACTAAGCACCTCCTTACAAGTACAGATATTGTACTCCATCAGTAACAGATCACAAATTTTTAAAAAATCATTTAAACTAAGTCATTTATTTTCTCTCCTTCCCATTCCCTAATGGGAAAAAAAGAAAATTCCTATAACAAATACACATACTCAAGCAAAACAAATTCCCATACTGGCCATGTCAAAAAATACATGTCTCATTCTGCACAGAGTCCATCACTTCTACGTCAGGAGGTGGGTAGCATGATTCATCATTGTTAGGCCTAATTGTAACCTTTCCACAAATTCTCCTTTTGCATTATTCTTATCCATGTCTTTCCATAAGTTCTCCACTAGAGGCCTTTCTCTGATTCTTTTAATAGTACTAACTCTAATTCTACCTCTGACTCTCTCATTCTCACAAATTCCAGAAGAGACCTCTGAGTACAAAGTCTTATCTAAGCAGGAATCTGCTACAAAATCCTAACAAGTGTCTTTTGCTGGAATGCCACCAATGAAGCTAAACCTCCCCATTATACTTTTGGATGGCTCTAACTGTTGGGAATTTTTTTCCCTTTATGGAATTTTTGTATTTTTCATTCTCAGAAACTGTAGGGGCACATGAGTTACAATTATTTTCATGGCGTCTGTTACAATGACTAATGGCTAGAGTGCAGGGGAAAGAGGAGCAGGCCTAGGCAATAACAAATCTGGATCCAAAGATCTAGAGACTAATACCTTGATGGCCTGAGAGAAGCTGTCAGGACAATTCTCCCATTCCCTCCCTAACCCTGATGAAGGGGCCTTGGAAAAATATGATCAAAGTTTCACTGATAAAGGCTTCATTCTCCAAAAATACAGACAATGGAGTAAAATGTATAAAAATAAGAGCCATTCCTCAATTGATAAATGGTCAAAGAATACAAACAGGCAGTTTTCAGAAGAAATCAAAGTTATCAATAGTCAAATGAAATGATGGTATAAATCACTAATAATCAGAAAAATGCAAATTAAGACAACTCTAAGGTACCACCTCACACCTATCACATTGACCAAAATGACAAATTCTGGAGGTAATGTGGAAAAACAGGGACACTAATTCACCATTGCCGGAATGAACTGGTCCAGCCATTCTGGAGAATAATTTAGAACTATGCTGAAAGGCAAACTATGCATATCCTTTGACACTACCAGGTTTGTATCCCAAAGAGATCAAAGGAAAA